CTCTCTCTCTCTCTCTCTCTCTCTCTGCAGCATGTGGAGTTCAGGAAACAGATGAGAGTGGACACCATCATATCTGACTGGAGACCTCCTGAGGTGAACACACTCAGTTTGGTGTATATGTTTTATTTTGGAGGGCTGACAGGACAGGAAGATGTAAATCAATAATAACTGTAATAATCTTTTAAAATCACGCTCCACCGATCTGCAGAAATGTGTTTTGGACTTTTTCTTTTGAACTTTCTAATTCGTTTCTTTTGATTCATTTAAACTGTTTTGCAGCTGCAGAATGAGACGAAACGCAAATAAAATAAGGAAAAACAAAACAACAACAAAAATATATAAATAAACTAAAAATAAATCAAAGAAAAGTGTAGAATGGGGAAAAGAAAATCACGTGTCAAAAGAAAAACCATAGTTTATAATGAAATTCATGATAACAGAGTTGCATTGTGACACAACGTTAACGTAAATTTTTCTTCTTCATGTAACTAAGACGTTATTTATTTTCTGTCTGTTCAATGTTTTAAACAAAACGAGTCTTAGTTCATTTTTAAATCTAATTAATCATAATGTTTATATGTAAAATGTTTTATTCGTTAAAAAGAATCCATAAAAAATTAAAAAATTAATTTTATTTCACTTCATGTAGATTGATGAAAGGGGGCTTTTACTGTGAAAGGACAGCTGTACTGCTTGGTCCAGGCTCATATTTTGAAATCTGGTTCCAAAGGGTTAAAGAAGCAGTTATACAGACTGTCTGCGGTTTGATGTCGGGTCCTGATCTCACCTTCCCTCAGGTGATCGAGAAGTACGTGTCTGGAGGGATGTGCGGCTACGACAGGGAGGGAAGTCCCATCTGGTACGATGTGATTGGTCCCCTGGATCCCAAAGGTCTGTTGCTGTCGGCAACCAAGCAGGACTTCCTGAAGACCAAGATCAGACACACAGAGATGCTGCGGCAGGAGTGTCAGAGGCAGACCGAGAAGGTCAGGACTGTCTCCTCATCTCCTTCTTGTTTCCTCCTCTCCTTTCCTCTTGTTTCCTTCCTAGTTTCCTTCTCTGCTTTCATTTGCTTCCTCCTTTCTTCTTTTCTTCTCCTCCTCTCTCCTCATCTCCTCTCCTCATCTCCTCTTGTCTCCTCTCTTGTTGCCTCTCTTGGTCTCTTGGTTCCTCTCCACTTGTCCTTTCCCCTCTTTTCATCTCGCTGTGTTTCTTCTCGTTTCCTCTCCTCTCCTCTCGTTTCCTCTTGTTTCCTTTTGTCTCCTCTCCTCTCCTC